GGCAGTTCTGACGATTCCCTTCGCAATCGGCGTCGCCAGCCCAAATGAGATAATCCGAGTTTGTGGGATGGAATGCGAGAAGTGGTACACCTTGCAAGTTTGGTGGGAGCGGCGCCTCTTGGATATTCCAGGAACGACCTCCGTCGGTGGTATAATAGTATGTTTTGGTTCCTGTGAACAGATAGGCTCTATCATCCGAATACGTGTGCATATAGAACGTAAGAAGCTTTTCTTCAGGGTATAATTGTTTCCAAGTATATCCTTCATTGCTACTTTGCCAAATTGAGCCATCATACAGTTGCACCAAGACCGTCTAAGGTGGATCAGATATCGATTCTCGATTTCAAGAGCCTACATTACCTTTAAAGTTCGGAAATAGGCATGAGGTCCAACTCGTGATGGGAAATGGAACTATAGAATTCAATACGTGCACCAAGCATGTATCATATTACTCACAGTTTGGTGAACGACCTCGCCTTCTGGAGGTTCGGCTTCGAGAGGTGTCAGTGATTCACAATGGACGGTGTGTAGATGGCTGATACACACCTTTGTCACAATTTTTGGATACTGGGTCGTCTTTACGAACGCCACCTTCTTTGTTACAGGTGTTTCCAGGTATGAGGCAATATCCCGAGGATCCCATATATGTTTGATTTGGTCCATCACCAACGCAGGTCCCAGCTGGGATGGGCTCTGGGCCAGCAGGTTCACACTTGCCGTCCTCCAGGACATAGTTATAGTCGCTACCAGAAGCAGTGAGTCCACGAATAGTTTATAGCATTGAACCATATACCATTCATAATCTGCATCTGTACAGGCGCAGTTTTCACTATGGGATTCGGGATCCTTGAATTTATTGCCGATGTAACAATCGACACCAGACTTTCTCCTCCAGAACCATTGCTGATGCATCGCAAAGTTAAATGGGAAGTGTTAAGGTGCCATTTAATATACATACCTTATGACCCATTATACATTCATGGCCACTCTTTCCTCGAGCATACCATTTTTCGAGGTCTCCGTCGCCACATTGACGAGATCGCATGCCAGCAAAGTCCAGATGTACGACCACGAATTTGCCGGAATCTGTCTGATCCTTTCTGTCCAGGGCCCCCAATAGAAGGAATTTTTGAGAGGTAGAATCTGGGATTGTGGTTAATAGCAATGGACGCAGTTTCAAGTCGAGATTATGTTTGTGCCTATGGTTTATTTGTGTATTCAGTAAGGTAATAAAATGAACTCAAAAAGACTGACCATGTTTCACCAGAGTCGATGGAATATCGGAAATGATCCACCGCTTTCTCATCATTTATGATCACCATAATGTTACCCTGATCACCGAATTCATATTTATGAGCACCGTGGCGGACTTGTTTCCAGTTTCGACCACCGTCCGTGCTAAGGTACGTATCACTCTCTTCGTACTCATCAAGGAACTCTGAGACAGTGCCGACACCCATCACGAATCCAGGCGCCGTCGAAGAAAAGACCCGACCGATGTTATGCGGGTTCGAGACAGAGTGTAAATGCAGTGAGCATTTCGCGACTTTGGTGGTATCGCAACTGAATGGCTTGTCGTGCATGTCTCGGGAAGGCGCTTGTATAAAGTCCCAGGAGGATCCGTCATCGTATGTTATTTTAGACTTCAGTTTGAGTCTCGCACTTGAGCCTCTATCGATTTCTTCTGCATTGTCGATATAATTTGCCATGCCCACACCTTCAATGTTCACCAGGTTCTCGAAATCCACATAGCCAGAATCGGAACGATGGGTATTCCTCATTGATTCCACGAAGAAAGTCCCATTCGAGTTGGAAACGAATAAAGTTCCAATATTGCGAGATGCATGTGACTGCACATCGATCGCAAGTGAGTGAGTAGTGCTCTCGACAATAGTGTACGAGTTCTCGTGAAGCTTTGAGTTGGAGCTATGTGGGAAGTGTGCCTTGGCCCAATTTTTCGCATCGATGGTTACATACAAAACCATCTCACCATTATTTCCCTCTGAGAGGTCCCGGAGGGCAACGACGAGGAATTTCGATACGACACCCATAGCTATTGCGCCACGCGATAACCGCGTACCGACGCCAAAGTCAATGATACGGCGATCTTCAGAGAAAAAGTCGTTAGATGCGATTAGCCGCGCCGACTCGGGTGAAGGTGCTTCGTCTGCTGTGGTTTCGAATGCCAGACAAAATATGAGATCCTTGTGCTCATTATGTAGGAAGTCTTTTGAGGAGTGGGCAAATAGACATTTGGAGGATTGAGATACCAAGAGCTTGGGCTCATCGGAGAATGCATCTTTCGTGTAGTAGGTCTATGTCTGGTCAATGGACGCGTTCCTATGTGCACGTATCAAACTCACAGAATCACTGCATTCTCTTGGTCCGAATATTGTATGCCTTTCGCACTTGACGCCTTGATATAATATATAGCCCGATCTGCCTGTATCCGCGTGGAAGGCCAGAGGGTTGGGAGTATACGCAGGTGGTAATGGCATCTCGAAACTTCGCCAAGTTCGTCCTCTATCTTCAGTCCTGTAATGTTTCTTTTCTCCGGTCAAAATGAACGCCTGGCGAACCACGTCAGCCTTGTCACTGGATTCGATAACACGCTTGGTTTTACCATTCGATTATCGAAAGGATGCTCAATGAGTTGAACAGCCTCTCCTCGCGGAACATCGTTTATCAAGCGCCATATTTTCCCTTCATCTTCGGAAAGCCAGACGTTTCCTTCCATCGAGTCTAAATACAATACACTCTATAGAGGACGTGTCATTTTCAGCAAATCGGAGATAAACCTCGTGTATAATTATATACTAACTGTAGTATCATCGAAATAATAGAGTTTCGCAGGCGTGTTTTTGAAGTACGTAGCAGTCATTTCTGGAGTAGAGCTGGCCATGGCACCGAACATTGGTACCAAATTCCAAGATGGCCCATCATTGCTCTCTGGACTCGATCCTTGCCATGAGCTTGAGAATATCCCAGCGAGGACGAGGGCGAAGCCGGTAAAGGCACGCATTGCTGGCCCTGTTCAACGCAACCGCGATAACGAATGGTGAAGT